AGTGGTCCCTGGCACCCAGAGACCATTTATTGGCACTAATCTGCTATTGTGATCCAAATAACGAAGATTCAGTTCACATTTTGAACACTGAATAATGACTTGGTCCTGGTTTGCTTCTGGTTTATAACTGCTGTTGGAAACTGCTGTCTTATCTGGAGTCCAAATTAACTTTTTTTGTGTTATATATACATGACTCAGCCTGTGCTGAATTGATATTACACTGCAAAACAGGGAGATGGAATTTCTTTTTCTTTGCTCTGAATGGATCTTCATTCCTTTCCCTTTTCAAAAGAAACAGTCCATTATGAATAGTTCCATGCTGCATAACATTGTCTTTTTCCTGTTCAAAGTGAGACATACTCTTAATGATTATGAATTCTGAGAGGTAAGTAATCATATGTTTTGGTTTCTTGGGGTTTTTTTGGAACATACGTGTAGTTTTGAGGAGCATCCGGCCTCCAGTTTTATTGAATGCCCTTCAGATATAAATAACACATTTATCAGAATATCTCTTCAAAATGTTTTTGGGTTTTCTTTTACCATTGTCTTCTACCTTGGAAAGCACTCTTCCCTGCAAATAGCTGCTGTCTTTCTTGTTTTGCTAGTATTTTCAGCATGACTCATGTCCCTGGCTCTTATTTTCTCTATTCTTATCTCTGTGAATGGCAGGCAGTGCTGCATCAGTATGTGCAGAGTGCCAACTCTTGAAAATTTCAGCTTTGAGGCTTTCAGGAATGGGAAGTTAAGCATGACCTATCGTTTATGCCATTTGGAGATGATCTTATAAAACTGACAGCCGTGTGCATTGTGTAAAATCCATGGCATTAGTTCTGGTTTTGCCTCCCAGTTCTCCCCGCAGAACCGCATGCAGAGTCACACTATACAGTATGCTTTATACCGTCACTGGAATATTTGCACTCTTTCAGACATCCGTCTGTGTGTAAACAGCTGTCAGCACTATACATGTGAAAAAAGGAAACTCTTCTGCTATTCACCAGAAGCTCTTACAGCTTATTAATATTGCAGAGGTTGTTTGCCTTAAGAACACAGAATTCAAAGGAGTGGTGTACTTCCACTTGCATCTATTCTAAGTGAATCTTGAGAGGAAGAATTCCTGAAGAAAAATCTGCATTATTTGAATAATTGCAAGGTTATCTTGTCTTCAAGAGAAAGTCAGTTTCTTAAGTTACTGCTGCTTAAATATCAGTGTTGATTCTTCAGGGAAGCCTGTCATCACAAGCCTTTGAGTTGCCTTAAAAAAAACAAACACCAAAAACAAACAAACAAAACCCTTTGCTTTTGTGATCAAGCCCTTCTGAAAAGTCTTTGTTCACTAGCATTCATTTGATCTTTGATACTTTTCCTGGCTTCATTTCTGCCAAACAGTAATCTAAAGTAAGTCTACCTAGTGCGTACTGATTGATCAGTATTGGTGCAGTTTCTTTGTCATTGTTTTGGAAATTCAACTTCTTTTTGTGTTGCAAGGGAAAATGTGAAGGTTGCTTTAAGAGGTGGTTGTAAAGGAGGGATTTATTTGCCGTGTCCGCATCTGTGTGAGTTGTAAGAGAGGCTCCAAAGTCTCTGCATAATGTGTCAGAACTGGTTAGACTGTATTTCTTTGGAAAGCAGTGGTGGATTTTTTGCAGGTGTGTTTGGTGGTTGAGCTGTGTGCAGTCAGTATGAGACAGGACACGGGACCAGACGGTGGGGATGCTAGGGAGCAGTGTTGACTGTCTAATGGAATATTACTGGGAAGGCACGGAATCACAGATTAAATTACTTTGATCTAGAAGTAGAAGATATCACGAGGGATAGTGGCTAAAACTAACCTTCCATAGGTATTTGAGGTTTTAAGTAATTACCATTTTCAGTTACAGTTTGGGTTCTGCTGCAAGAGAGCAGTTAAATGAAGATGTCATCTTTTGTCAGAACAGGCATTTATTGGTGGCATTGCTTAATATCTTACATAAAATGTGGCTTTCTTCTGTATTGCATTGGTAGAGCCTAAGCAAGCCGCAAAGTGCCATGTCGCAAAACACTTGGGGATGCCTGAGCTTTTGCTTTAGTAAGGAATTAAGGAAAATCAGGGAAGAAAAGCCCATTTTTGACTGTTAAATAAAAAGGATTCCATCTTTGACTTGGTAAGCCTCTGAGCCTTGAGTATTTAGAAGGAATTGTCATTATCTGTTTGCACTGTCGAGCTCTTTCCTACGCATCAGCTGCTGCTCTCTACTGAAGAAAACACACCAATGCTGTGTGAACTTTCTGGTTAGGCTGGCACAGCTAGCTGTTTGTATGCTTTGTTCTTATTCCATATCGAAGCACTGAACTTGATCTCTGTCATCTGTGCTTCCTTGCTGTATGCATGTGTGTGCAACAGAGGTGCTAAATTTTGAACAGCCGAGACTGCCGATGCTCCTGTTGCACGGTCAGCAAGAGCCCGTCCCAGCTGCTTCTGCACTAAGACGAGCTTGATCAGCAGTGTGACTGCTCTCCCCACGCCTGACAGGTGCTGTTTGGTTCATCATGGAGCGCAAGGCCTGAAGGAAAACACGCAGGTGGGGCACAGACAGAGGCTTTACGTGTCGGGGCAGCAAGTATGGTGTGCTCTTGAACTTAATAAAAATGGGAATCCTGCAGTAGGAGCAGCAGCAGATCCTGCCTTGGGCTGTTCCCCCAGTATTTCTGCATGGAGCTAAGAGAGTGTCAGAGATCGGGGATCCGGTTGTGAGGGTTGCACCTCCCTGCAGCATCTCCCACCGGGTGCGCTGAGCCCAGCACTGCTGTCGCAGAGACTGGAAAAGCCACTGTGCAGCGTGTAGCTCCCAGACAGGAAAGTCAGGAATGTTTATATATTAGTATCCTTTAAGCAGGGATAGAATACTATTTGAGACTACAACTGAGATTTGTGACTATTAATAAAGAACATCCTGTGTTAATAGGACTGCTGGCAGCTGCAATGAAGTACACTGCTGTCAGAATTGTAGTAGTTAAGCTACCTTGCAAGGTTAAGAAGAATTATGCATCAGCTGAAACTGATACTAAATATATGCTGTACTTTCATGCTGGTCACTTGATAAGAGTGTGTTATTTCCTTGAATTACACAGTATACCAGGGTATGGCACCTGGAAATTTATACTCTCTCTTCCCAGTCTTAAGTATGCAATGAGATAATTTGTGGAACAGTTGTGAGTAATAAAAAAAGTGAGTATCTAGAAAATGTTCAGTGGTTATTTTCCATTACAGACATGTCTATGAAACACTGTTATCTTTGATGATGAAAAATCTTTGTTACAACGTTGTCCTTCCTTTGTTCGTAGCAAATCCTGAGCCACATTCTGGGTGAGAATTTGCTATTCAGAAATGTATAGGAGAAAAGAGAGTTAACCTTTTAACCATTTTGTCAGCAGTTCACTTTTTTCATATAAGGATCTATATGACACCATCTTCCTGTTTGGGGACAGAGATGTCCCCTCGTAACTGGAGCAGCATGAATTTAAACTGTTGCTCAGATTAATTTTTTGCGCTTGTTTGTCAGGAAATTGGACAAGCTAGTGCTTCTTGGGAATGTTAAAAAATGAAATTATCAAAAAACCTTATTTTGGTATTCCTGTGTATGGCCATGGTGGCTGCATTTGGCTGCTGAAGGACTTTGTATATCCATCCCCTGAAAATGTATTGTTAAAAAGAGCTTCCTTGGAAAATAGATGAAACTACTAAGATGATGGCCATTGTATTCTTGTTGCTGAATGGTACGTGAACACTGCTTTAAAAAAATAATTTAAAAATCAAGCTAAGTTAAGTTTCTTATGGCCACATCAAAGCTCACAGTAGGAAGGAAAGAGGCTTTTCTCTTGTCTGGAAACTGAAATGATTTAGTGCTTGACAGGTCTTCTGGGTTCTGAAAATTCATTGCTGAGATTTTCATTCTGCTAATATTCTTTTGAAGTTTTGTTAGTCAGGGCTTTCTCTTGTAAAGAATGGAAGGATGCAGCACAGTAGAGCTTTAACAGCAGCATGGAAACTCTTGACTTAAAAAATTGACTTTCTAGCTTTTGACATTCCAAAACCTTGTTACACTTCATAGAATGCTGTTCAATCCATAGCTGGTAATGCTGGGTTTGCTACACGTAGCCCCTTGGTTGGCTGTACTTGAGCTAGTATCTGTTTTAAATTGTTGATACATTATATTTTGGAAGAAAATTATTTTTAATGCCCAGCTTCTTTTTCTATGTGTAATTTTTTTCAACATTTAAAATGCTATATTAAGTGCACATGACGAGGCATATAGTTTAAACAATATATGGCATGTTGGGAAATCATGACAATTGTAATGGTATATTAGTCTGGAATATTATTATGTGATTATATTGGTAAACTCAGATGCTAGAAATATAATTTCGTTTTTGTTTCCTCAAAGAATTATATTGTATTTCCCAAAAATTCAAGGACAGTAAGTTTTGATGCATTTTTATTTGCCTTGACACGTTTTTGAGCAGGAAGAAAGAAAAAAAAAAAAGGCTTCTTAATTTATTGATATGGATTAAGGCATTTCGTTTGAGTGTTTTCTATTCCTCCAAGCATCAAAGTCTATATCAATTCTGCATTTTGATTCCAAAGTGGTCATATTTTCTACTGACGTGGTGTTTGCTAACATGTTTTTTTTCTCCATAGCTGTCTGGTTTTGTCTATGGGAAGGTTGCAGACCTGTCTTCAAATAATTTTTAAAAGTGGAAAAATGAAAAATTCCTGAAATGCATAGACATCATGTCTTTTGCCATTAGAATGGGTCTGTATGTTTTTAAAACCATCAGATGCTTCAAAGTCTTTCAGGTTTTCTGGTATATATGATATTGAGAGCTTGTGAAGCTGCGAATACAGAAGGGGGAAAATTAAGCTCGTTTTACTTGTTTGGCTACAGTATTACTACAGTAATTTTTGAAGTATGTAGTGACTACTGGTAGATTTGCTTAAAAATAACTTTTATTTCTGTCTCTAGTCTCCAACAAAAGCTGTATATAATGCTAGACACTGGAACCAGCCAGAATCAGAGGCTCTGCCAGCACCACCGGTTTTGAAAACTCCCAGTGTCCCAGTAAGTAGACTAACTCTTTTTTTTCTCAAGTTTACTAAATCTTTTAAGATTCACTTATATTGGAAAAAAAAAAGATCTTGGGATCTGGTAATGTCACAGTAATTCAGAATGAAGACCACTTTGTGAGCCATTGAGTATTTGCTAGGAAATAAATTGTCAGTGGAAATACTCTAGAATGGGATCTTCCATATAATTTCAATGTACAGACACAAAAAAAATACTTCAGTGATGTCATGTTCCCTAATCTAAGTTAAACTTTCTAACAATGGATGCCATTTCATCCTGTGTGATAACCCCTAGAATTAATTTGCTAATACAAGTATAAATCAGCAAGTTGCAGGTCAAAAAGGAAAAACTTAAAATAGCTATTTCATTTATTTTTCCTTCCTAATGGAGTAAAGTATTGTGTGTTGCTGACTTGAGTCTTTAGACACTATGCAAGAAACAAAATTTTCTGTATACAGCCAGAAATGCTAATATGAACATATCAGATATAAAAATGTATCCAAAAAGTAAACAAGAGGTGAAAACAGTTCTTAAAGTAACTTGTTCCACCAAAACTAATGATTTGTTCCGAGGCATAAGGTAATGGTTTTTTAACTATTTTCACACCCTGAGAATTCAGGGTCTTGGGCTTATATATGGGTAAAAGTTGTTACTGATTATGCTGAGATCATTGTACATTGTCAGTAAACTTCATATCATTTGGTGCCTTGCTTTACAGTACTTGCCTGAGAACAGAAAATCAGGAAGTAGACATTTTTGCAATAAGTCTTCAGCTTTTGTTGTTGCTGCCATTTTCAGGTTTTTTGTTTTAGTTTTTTGTTCTTTAATTTGCCCTGTATTGTTCTGATACTAGCTCCTCTTTGATTTATGGTTGGTTTTGGTTGCATCCTCACAGTATTCTGAACAACCTTCACTGTTAAGTGCACTGCCTGGAAAATGCAGAGGGCTCACTGTAAAATAACCATTCCCATTAAGTGTTTGAGGAGAGAGCAGAAATTTCAGTCCGGGGTTTCTCCTAAACCCTCTTCTCAAATAATGTACATTTGAACTGAAGCTTATGTTTCTTACTGAATGTTAGTACTCTGATAGCTAACTTAAAGGTAGGTTTTGTCTGAGTCTTCTCAGACAGACCTTGAATATATCTTCTTCAGGCTAGGAAAATGTCTGGATCATTCATATTCAGACAAGCCATTGTGTCTTCTCTTAAACTTCCACTTTGTAACTGGAACCATCAAAATATTAATTTAGGAATACGGCAGAGGTTTGGCTGAACAAACCAGTTAGGGGAACTTTTTTGTATCTGCTCCTCTTGTTCTGATGCACATCTGAAGTTACTTCAGTCACTTTTTTTAACCTTGATTTGTGTGTGTGTGTGATTAAGAGTTATAAGGTAAATGAGCCTTGATCCAAATGTTTAGGAGTAATCTCTGCACAGATGATCCTGCCTCTTTAATTTCAGTAGAAATATGTTACCTGAAGATCTGGATAAATTTGTCTTAGATTTATGATGAGAAACCCATTGCATGCAAACTGCTTATGCCAGGTACTCTTTCTTATGGCCTCTCCAAGCTCCCTTGGAGTTTCCTTTGAAGGAGAAGCCATTAACCAAGATTTGGATGTGATGCTTCAGTGGATCTCCTGTATTCACAGACTGATAAGATCAGAATCCTCCCCTATGTGCTCTAAACCAGCTTTTCAGGGTGGTTTATTAGCATTTTGGTGCTGGAGCCCAACTGAGCAAATACTGAAGTGCTGCACAGTGATAGAGGCAGCATGTAATGAATATAGCAGGTTGTTTTGGCTTATATTTTTGTTTTGACTGTCAATGTACAATGCACAAGGAAGCTTTCTCTCAAAATATCCCATGGAGTGAGTAACAGTTAATGCATCTTCTATACCTGTGTATTCCTTTTTTTTTTCAGTCACACTTTTAAAAAATTCTTATTTTTCTATATTTTTCCTGTGTAAGGAAATTAGTGTACATGATGTTACTTAGAGATTGAGTGTGAGTGAATGACCACTGGCATTGGCACTTAGACAATGTAGAATTTGGCATTTGGAGGTCTTTTTCCTCTATGCCTTGTTTTCTGTCATTTGTCTTCACATCTGAATTTGTGCCAAAATAGTAATCTGAAGATCAGATGACACTTAAGTTTATAGTAGCCTCAAACTAATAGAGAGAAATAGATTGAGGAGAAACCTGTAATACTTACCTGCCTGAGATAGTTGGAAACTTATCAGTAGTTATTGTAGACGTAACATCAAGTTCTTTACTACCTGTTTCAAGTCCAGAATAGGTTTTGCTGTATTTCGTGCTATAATACGTCGTTCCTAAAATATTAACACAAATACAAATAAGGGCAGTGTATGGAGAATACCATGAGTTTCCAAGAAGCATACTCTACCTATTTGAGGCATGCACCGTGCCTCTCTTATTTCTGTGTGTGGCAATTTTTTATGGTGCTATAAAATGTATATTGGTAGTCTCCTACCTACAGGCAAAATACAGTTTGGAGTATCAGGTTGGAGAGGGTAGCTTTCTAATAGCTACACCCTGAGTATGGTAGTGCAGTAGCCTCCAGTAGTTAGAGATGAGAACAATAGGCACAGGGTTTTTCAGTTCAGGCTTTGCTGAGACAGTGATTGCTCAGTGCTGTGCTTGTATCCAGACCAGTGTACATAGTGATGGTTCAGTATAGCAGGAAGCCCCAGTGTAAGGGGGTAATATACTTGGAAGTATCAACAAGTAGTTGTTTTTAAAGACTGAACCGCATTGGTTTACTTACCTAAAGCTTAAAGAACCAGTGTAAAGGACTTTTTTTTTTTCTCTTCCTTTTTTAGTTTCACTCCACTGGAGCTTTTCTGACAACTTAGAACTGGTTTTTGTATTTAAAATGCATACCATTTCTGACTTTTTTTTTTTTAAGAGTAGGTACATTATCACACAGCTTAGGTCCATCTTGGTAGTGTAAGGCAAGGACTAAATAGTCCCAAAATGTGAGTTTGACAATTGCACACCTGTACTGTTTCCTGATGTATTTAGTGTATGTTTACATTCTCAAAACATCTGCCCATTTTAGCACTTTCTTATTAATAGGTAAGGCTATCTTCAAAGGAGGCAATTCATAAAGATGATGGAGTTTTTAAGGCTCCTGCACCACCTCCCAAAGTGATAAAAACTGTGACAATACCTACTCAGCCCTATCAAGAGATAGTAACTGCATTGAAGTGTAGGAAAGAAGACAAAGAAGTAAGTATTCTTAACAAATTTTTAAGATAAAGAATTATTGGTAATCCTAAGTACTGAAGGAACAGTGTCAAAATGAAATTTGTCTCTCCTATTAAAGATAATATTTTTGTCTAAGTAGTTGAATGGCCTAACTTCTTAATGTTTCCTTGCACTCAAAACTCAATAGATTTTAAACTGTACTTGTTAAATAACGTTATAATCAATCCCAAGAGCAACTTACCTAGGTCAAAATATTTGTCTTTTCCAGTTATACACTGTTGTTCAGCATGTAAAGCACTTCAATGATGTAGTGGAATTTGGTGAAAATCAAGAGTTCACAGATGATATTGAGTATTTGCTAAGTGGATTGAAGAGCAATCAGCCCCTAAACACGCGTTGCCTTAGGTAAGATATCTTAATATAAACCACTGAACTTATATTTTAAAGAGATAGTGAATTACATATTTATCAGTGAAGTGACCGTGCTTTAAAATGTTGTTTGGGTGGTTACCTGGCAATTCTATTCTAAAGAATAAAATTTGAAAATAATCATCAAGATGATACATTGTGAATAATCAAAAGTAGTATTGACAAGGAAGATGAAATAGAAAATTGTACAGTAAGAGACGTCTTCAACACACTTGTTTTCCTTGCTATAAATTAAAAAAATATTTTCTGATAACTTTTCTTTGTTGGGTGCAATCTTATGTGTGATGTCTGTTCTGTATTTTAAAGCAAAATTAAATTTAAAAAAATCCATAAGCCTGGAATGTTTGCTGGGTATAATCTAGAACTAGTGTAATATTGAGGTACTGTTTAAATCTAACAGCCTCCTGCAAAATAGCATCCACTGGAAGTATTGTGGCCCCAGAATTAATTGGAAGCTTCCCTAAGTTGTCTTGAACCTACTCATTGTACTCTTAATATTCAAGTTACACGTTATTGCTAAGTTAGTATAGAAAATGTTAGTCTTGCTTTGAAAAAGTTTATGACTTAAACTTTATGTCCATTCCCTGGACATAAAAGTAATTAGAATGATGTTCTGTAACCATGTAATAATTTTTTAATACACTTGTAAATTTTCATCTCTGTTTAGCAAAACTAAAATGGTAGAGAAGGAAAAACTTGAATCCACAGAGACAGGTGGTGAGGACACTTTACTTGAGATTTGACTGTGATTAAGAAAAAGCTTTATATGCTTTTAAGAGAGCTATTTAAAAATTTTATTCTTCGTGTTCCTCAAAAACAAGCAGTGAATCGTTGCTGGAGTATGAACACAAGAAATCTGTTATCCAGTTTGTATGTACATTATGACAAGAATAAATAATACCATAATGACAGCTCAGGAGTGTTTTTCATATTCACTGCACTTAATTTGCTCATATGGCAAGCTTCCTAAGATCTTAAATTGACTTTTTTACTTTCCAGATTTATACTGTGGAATGTAACTCGTATAAACACTATAACAATTTTTTCTTTCAGTTAACAAATTAAAAGAAAAGTATTTTTTCCAAAGGAAATCAATGTGTAAGGATAGGAATAGAAGTTAAAGAATCAGAAACTGGTAGGTAAGCTCTAACTGGTGCTGTTGTGACTGGAGACAGAAAGACCACTTGTTCTTTAAACACCATACTGTATGAATCTTTTATAATAAGATTCCTCAATAATCATGGAAGACTTGGTTGCAGAATGACTCCTGCATTACTCCAAATTTAAAAGCAATGTATTTTTAATGGTTTATACATTGCACTGTGCCAAAAATGGCAGACGTCTTGCTAATAAGACTAGGGGAAGACTTCCATTTTTTAAATTGAACTGTAATACTGATCACTAATTAGACTAATATATTTGTCAGATTTTTTCTGAAATCTGTACTGTTTCCAGCAACCATAAATGCAGCAATAAATATTAAAAATATTTGGTTTTTTGTAAAAGTATTGTCAGGCATAAGTGAGACTAATCAGTCAATTAGATACATAACAGATAGCGATGGAAGCTCACATTTGTAATTTCTGATAATGCCTTGATCCCTAATAAGCTCTCCTGTGCCTCTAAATCAGAGCTTCATGCTTAATCCATTAGCACTTCACTTTCAGTTTAACTATATGAAATTATTATTTATTTTGTTTGAAAGAAACGAGTTCAGGGTACCCTTTCAAATTCTGTTTTTAGACAACCTTGAAATAAAGCAGACCTAGTCTGGTGTTGGTAAGCAACTGTTGAATAAAATGCTGCTCTCTTCAACGATTGCAAACTTGCCTATACAAGTTTTAGAAGAAACATCCCAACAAGTTTTGTCAGCGTCTGAGGTATATGATCAGTCACATGTTATAGAATTATCTGCCATTTTTGTAAATGTGTTCAATTTAGTTGTTCTAATCCAGAATTAATTTTCTCTAGTGTAATCAGCTTGGCGACCAAGTGCGCCATGCCCAGCTTCCGAATGCATCTGAGAGCACATGGGATGGTAGCCATGGTTTTCAAAACACTGGATGATTCCCAACACCATCAGGTATTGATACATTGTGTATTTCATTAAGCTTTGATGATACCTGTCTACTTTGCATGAATTTGTGTAGTGTAATTCAAGGCCAGGCATCCAGCATAGTGCATCTTGGATTGGTCGCTCTATTTCAGAAGTCTGTAGCAGAATGAAAAATAAGAGCACCTGCATTGCAATGACAAATTCCCCTTCCACTGTTTATGTGCATCATGTTTGGAAAATATTTTTAAAAATCATTTAAGCTTTTTAAAAATACTGACTGTGCTTTGGATTGCTATTTTATATCTTCTCTTAAGCTTTTTAAATAGTTTTATTGTTGTATTTAAAACTTCCTTCAAATAAAACATATCTGAAAGGAGTCCTTTCTCCTTATTACTCTAAGTGCTCATCTCCAGACTTGCTTGTATGTCAATTATCACCTTTTCTGTAGCTGTTGTGGGGTATTTTTTATGTCCTTTGCTTCTGTCCATGAGCAGTGCTCTAATTGCAGTTGTAGGATGCTTTGAGTATGTGTAGTGTTCTATGACAAATCTAGGAAAGGTAAATTTTTGCTTCTTATGGTAACATGACCCGAGAGTTAAAAACTGAAGCAGTTCAGCTTTTCCCCCTTATCAATTTAGAAGTTCAAGTCAGCTGTAATAGATAACACTTCTTGGGAGTGATACTATTTTTCCAGCAGTTGGAAACTATACCTCTGTGGGGTATCCCCTGAGGTATTGTTACAAAAACTGAACATAGGAAATGTTACTTGAAGTGGATAGTAGATGTGTATATCCAGTCAGGTTTATTATTTTTATTTAATAGCTGTAGAAGAATGACATACAATGCAGAAGGAAACTTGGCACCCAGAGAAATTGATTTTAAGAGATTGTATTTGACATCTTACTGTGGATGGGGAAAAATAGGTAGAGCTTTAAGTAAGTATTTAGGAATAATAGCTCATTTTTCATCTCCCTCTTCCATCTCCCTCAAAAATTAGCAATGGCTAACTGTAAAACGTAGCAACCAGGTTCAATGCATTCACTATTTTGTGGTCTGTCAAAATAGTTCCAAGTGATACTAGAAATAAATGAAGTACAGTCATGCTGTTTAGGACAGTTGCCGCCACTGAGTTGCAGGAGATCTGCGGAGAACAGCTACAGTTCCTTGGAAAGTGTACAAGCTTGCTCAGTGTATTTTTGGCTGTCTTCTAACAGCTACCATCATTCCTTCATTTTCAAAAGCACTAGCACATACAGTTCAAAAGGAAATTGCATGCTGTTATTAGTCTGCAGTAACAAAAAGCATTGATTATGTTCACTATTTTCAGCATATTTGATGAAATGCAACCTTTTGTCAGAAAAAAGGTAGTTAATGCTTTAATATAGTTACAGTGCATTCTTGGTACAGGTTATACAGTATTATAAAATTACTGATTTATCAAAATACTATTAATAAATGCTAAAATATATGCTCTAACTACTGGCAGTATATGCCTCAGCAAATGACCTTTTCTGTATAAACTTACTGTCTTTATATATGACCTTTTCATTCACTCATTATTTCACTAAAATTTAACTTGTTCAAAATGAATAGAAGTTTCTCCACTAAATCTCAATGCAGAGTAACTCAAGAATAATAAACCATGCTAGGCTTTGCGCACATGGCTCAAATCCATTTAAGATGAATAAGTATTGGGGAAAAAATACAATTATTTTGTTAGTGTTTTCTTTAAAGTATTTTAGAGATAGGAAAACTGCCACAATGACATTTCAAATGGAAACAAATATAAGCATATACTGCTTTCATTGTACTGATACAATGGAATAGACTGAGAAAAAGTACAAGACTTTTGCATTTCCATAAGAATATGAAATAGCAGTTTCAGAGGTGTTTTTTTAAACAGCTAGGAAAACAAAATAACCAGTTATCTTACTGAGCTATGCCCCAAAATATTTACACGGAAATTACTTGTTCCACTTAATTTTTCTTGTAGATTTGTCTTTAGTCTACAGTTTCAGTTTTTAATTGACTTTGTCTCTTCAGCTGTGCTCTAAAGGTTTTGGAGTATTATTAATTTTTAAAATAAAAACTGTATTTTCACTGTAGCTCTCAGTAGTTAAGCACAGAAGTGTGGTTTTGTAATGTCTTCAGCAAGTGAATAATTAAAAAAAAGGTGCATTAAATGTAGTGCTGAACCTTAGGAAACAACCATCTGTTCCCACAAGCTGGAGTATAAATAGAACAAACAAGGGAAGGCAAGGATGAGCGTGGGTGTAAATCGTCTGCCATTCAGCTAGGATGTTTTCCTGAGTTCTGTAGAAGTTCCGTAAGGACTGCAACTCCATAGTTGGATATGCCATAAAATTTCTGTCTAGAGCAAATTCTATTTATTTTACTTTTTCTCCTTTCCACATTTGTTTGGAAGCAAAATGTGTTTTAAACATCTTGAGGAACCGAACAGTAAAAAAAAGCCCACCTAAAAAGCCAGCTTCACTACTGCAATCCAGAAGGGTGGGGTTTTGAAGGTTTGATGGGGTTCTTTGATTGTTTTGTTTTTTTTAGGATATTGGTCAAAACTGAGTTGCACTAGCAATTTTTGCCTTATTCTCAACTTGGAATTCTGTGTATGGTAGGGCATGAGATGGCTTTCAGACAACATGGATAACTGGTTTTAATACTTAACAGAAGATCAGAGCAAAATATAGAGTTCTTCTATTCAAGATTAAACCAGCTTGCCTATAGAGACTAAGAAAAAGGAATTTTAGAAAACCCATGTCACTGGCATGTAACTGAAGCTGGTTTGTCCCATGCTATAAGCACTGTTCCCATTTGAGGTCATTATTTCTGCAACATAACTGTGTTCCTGTTGCACGTCAGCATTTGGAGGCATATTGGCCTGATTGTGTATAAGCTGTTGCAGGATTCTAGTTCTTGCTACATGTACCTACTCCACTCCTTTTTGCTTTTCTGGCAGTCGTCCTGCAGCCTGAAACCTTCTGTATGTCTTAGTCCCCTGCTTGGGTGTCTCTGATCACATTTAAGTATCTTAAAACCTGGGTGCAAGATCTGAAGGGGAGTGTTGGAAGGCTTTATGTGGAGGGAGAACCATTACTCTCTGCAGAATAGGAAGTGGTTGGATTGCAAAGCAGGAGCCTGTGGCAGGCAAGGGTTTGGTACAGAGGCTTACAAAATGAGTGCAGTTGCCTGTATCAGACTTTGAGGTATCTGTAAAGCGTTTCTGAGTAGTGATCTAAGAACAGTCTCTGACTTTGAAATGCCTAAATATTGGCAGCCCAGATTATAAATTCAGCAGTTTTCCTCTATTAAATGCTGCTTAGTCTCTAGTCGATAGAAACTCCTTTGGAGGCTTAAACATTTTTGTTTTCTCCCAGGAAGCTCACCTAGATAATGCTGGTCACTAGAAAATAGTTCTTCACAGCTGTTGCGTTATTAGGTCCCCCACTGGCTGAACAACAGCTAGCAGAGTTCAGTTTGGTTTCTCTGGAGTGCATGTGCTCCTATGTCCTGTTTTAATAGCTGCCATTCTGAAGGAACTGAGTCTTCTTCCAGGAACCTGAAATTTCTTACAGTTTAAACCAGTTGCAAGTAAACCCAGAGTAGATAATTTCTATAATTAAAATGATAAAATTGCAAGGTTTATTGGAGAAAGTTAATAGAAATTACGGGAAAAGAATGTATACCCTGTGTGTGTAGACAAGCTGCATAGATTGACTTCTGCCTTACATCTGACAAGGCTGGAGTAGTGATATTCACAGCTAAGATTTTATTTTGAACCAACCCTGCATCTCAAGGTTGTATTTGTGAAAGGAGATGTAGATTTGGAAACTCTTACTTTCTTCCTTCAGTATTCCAAATGCATCTTTGGTAGTTAGTCAGATTAAAGTCTTTATTCACCTGAGGGTTTCCTTGACTCAGACAGGAAGGGATTTAACGTAGCTTTTGATAGACTGTCAGCTGCCTAATCCTGTTTTGGAGATGCTGATACTGCTTCCTATGACCAGGTATGATGATTACTTCTAAAATAAACAGAAGCAGCTAATGATTGCTTTGGTGGTTGGCTGAACTCTAAACAAGATTTAATCTGCTATGACACGGAAATTCCTGTTGAACTGTACAACATTCATATCTCAATTAGTTTGTCTCCATTTTTAGTATGCTTTATACTGAAAAAAAATTTGAATAGATGCATGCAGCATGTTGACTCTTGGGAGCTGAACTCAGTAAGTTCACACATACCCCACATCACCCCCTCGGCTCTTTTTTCCTCCAGATACCGTGAAAGGTTTCTGAAAGTATTGTTCCCAGCACAACTGAATTCTTCATGAACATTTCTCCTCTTTACTTGGAGCTCACCTGGATAGATGGGTCTGTTGGTGCAAGTGCTCTGCTTACCTGCACTACGGACAGATGACTTTGATCTCTTCACTGTCATTTGCCCCTTCCTGACAGTCGCCTTCTGCCTTTGGTTTTCTGTATCCTCATGAAGATGAAATTAAATTCCTTCTTAAAGAAGGATTAGGTATTCTTTAGCCGTTAAGAGGTCCCTACACACCAATTCTGTGTAAGATAGAGATGGTCAGAATAGTAAAATTTACATGTTAAGGACTGATGGGGATGGGGCAAGGGGGAAGCTGGTTTATACTCTGTCTGCTTCCAAAAAGCAGAATTCCCCTGGAAATCGAATGTGTCTATGCTGGAAAGGTTTGGGTAAACTATCGACTGACAGACCTGCTTGGCAGAATCAAAATGTATGTCACCAGGATGTCTTTTTTTTTTTTTTTTTTCTGTTCATATGCAAACACTATTCCCCATAATCTCTGTATTTTCCGGTGCTGTCACTAGCTTATCCCATCAAACCAGAAAGTTCGCCTGCCTTGCCATGTGCCCTGTGCTTTTTCACTTTGTTCCCCTGCCGTCTGTCTCTAATATTGTGTTACTGGAGTTACCATTTCTTATTCTGTCTGCAGCACAGAGTCCCTTTAAAGTAGAAAACCCTACTTTCTACTAGGGTTTTGTAAATGTATTAAGTGATTTATGCCTCAGTCGTATTGGTTAGGAGAATGCATTAGTAGCTTGCTAGAAGGAATCTATGTGCAACAGTGAGACTCATGTAAGTGCCAGTGCAGATTGGGACTTGTCTTTTGTAAATCTTCAACTTGTTTATTAAAAATTGCAAAAGGTCTGCCTAACATGTTTACAAAAACTAACTTGTTTTTTTTCTTTCCTCTTCCAACCCAAGAATTTGTCCCTTTGTACAGCAGCTCTGATGTACATCCTCAGTAGAGATCGTTTGAACATGGATTTAGATAGAGCTAGTCTAGATCTGATGATACGGCTTTTGGAATTGGAACAAGATGCTTCCTCTGCCAAGCTGCTGAATGAAAAAGACATGAACAAAATTAAGGAAAAAATTCGGAGACTGTGTGAAACTGTTCACAACAAACATCTTGATCTAGAAAACATCACGGTGGGTATCATGCTTTTATTTAAAAGCCTTGCCAGTAGTGGAATGCTTAATAAAATGCAACTTGTAAGCATCATTTCTAGTCTCGTATCTCTCAGCTAAGGGGTCATAACATCTTGTTTACCTTTTTT